CATTGCTAAAAAATATATATTTACAAGACTCTTAAAGGTCCTTTGTTGCTATAAAAAGAGTCAGACTTACTATCTTGCCAATAAACTTGCCAAATAGCGAAATATCTGAGTGGTCCGAAATACACTGTTGGCATCACCTAGGGCCCAATTTTCTTACGTCTGTGTTATTTAAACTTTGTTTATCAATGACGTATCACAAATTATATCATACATAACAAATCACATCATCCATGTACTATACACTGTGCTATGGGCAATTTGCTATATCCAATGTTTTGGCCTTTTGTACTGTTAATTGTACATGACTGAAATAATTAAGAGCAACGCAAGTGCTTTAAATATGACGAAACTCAGTGTACAACTGAACAACAGTAAAAACAAAGTTGCTTATGATATTGTTACTAACATTTCATGGCAGTTAACTTTGTCTCATGACCAAGTCTTTGAAACGTCTCCAAAAATACAAAACAGTACCTAGATATAAATATATAATATAATATAATATAATATAATATAATATAATATAATATAATATAATATAGGGTTGCAAATTACCAAAGACATTTGCTTTCCTGTTCCAACCCTTCTTCCTTACCAAAAGGGTAATTTGAAAATCAGGAGTCTGCTGATTGTCACACCTTTAGGACAGTCGGAAAGCTGTAATCTACTGATGGGTCAGTTTAAATGTCTGATTTGGTTTTTAAGGCCATTACACACCAAATTGATATTAAAGAACTGGTGGCGATGAAAGCCAACTATGTTGTCACCTCGCATCTCATGCACCTGGGTCAAAAAGTTGTACTTGAACATATTACAAAGACTACAGTCAACGGCCGACTAGCATGTATGTTATGCACCAGTGTGAGAAGAAATAACCGTCTGTACCAGCAGTTGGGGTAATGCATTATTTTGATGGTTCCCTTTATACATTTCATTGACTATAAGTAGTAATGCAGCATGTCAACTAACTCTCATTAGAGTATTAGTAATGTATAAGAAGACTATCTGCTTAATATCTGCTAACACTTTATTTTGATGGTCCCCCAACAGACATTCTACTGACTATATGTCAATTTGCAAGTACATGTCAACTTATTCTACTAACCCTAACCCTATCCCTAATGGTCTACTATTACTTTAATGAGAGTTAGTAGACATGTAAGTCTCAACATTATTTAGAGTTAACAGAATGTTTGAAGGGGACCATCAATAAAGCTAGAACGGAGGATATACAAACCGTAAACAAAGCAGTGCTCGCTTACAATTTTGAATATGAATCATGTTGATCAGTTGGTCACTTTCTTTATTTCAGACGGCATTATGGAATTATTTGCGTATTGAAAGGCTCGTGTAAGATAAGGATGTAAAATTTGAAAGTCTTTTATGTGTGCCCACTTGACTTCATCGTTTGCTCGCTTTCTTCACTTTTACCATTTTTCCACTGGTTTGCTGAACAGACAATCAGGGGTGCATTTCCCAAAAGCATCGTTAGCCAAGTATGGTCGCAAGTTCAACGATTCTGCGTTTCCCGAAACCATAGTTCCAACTAACATTCGCAAACAGCATTGAAAGCCCGCGTGGTTGGAACTACAGCTCTCAAGCTGTGGTTAGAAGCATAGTTCCCTATCTGTCAGTCACTTTGACATTGTGTCAAAACTGACACTAGGAGTCGTACTTCGGACCCCTGAAACATCTCTGACATTTCAAAAATGGCCAATGAGAATTGGTGAGTGGGATTTGCATGCCAGCCACTACCCTTGACATATTAGCTCCACTCATTCAATTTTGTTCTTCTGAGTCTGAGTCTCTCTTATGAGCAATTCTACAATCCGTTCATCTCACAATGCTGCCAGATCTCTCTCAGCACATTTCAGCAGTCTCTCTTCAAACAACGGACAGATAAGTGAAGTGAGTTCCTCTGTGTGCTTCAGTGGCGGACTAAAAGAGGAATTTGTCCATCTAAAAGAGCTGCAAGGCAGATCACATTGTTTTAAAGATGCCCATCCTACTTCTACTTTCTCTCTACTTCAGACAACCATGATTGCTGTCTTGAATGCCTGGGTCTTACTCCAACTGAGACAGCGTTTGTGGATGGTTCATGTCCTCATTGTGAGAAAATGGCCATGGGTACGTTGCTGTTGTGACTTTTTCAAAAGGCTGTGAGTCACCTCCGCCACTTTCCGTCCTGGTCCTTCTACCTCTGGGTACGAGGCAGTGACAGTGAGCACTGAGGGCGATCTGGGTGTTACAATATAAGAGCTTTCGCTGGGTGAATCCCCGTGTGCCTCCCATTCCCATGCACGCTCATGTCCCCCGGTTCAGTTCAGGGATGAGTTAGATGGTCCACCTGAGGGTGGACTTAATTTATCATTCGGGGCTCGTGAAGATGAGCTGTCAATTACAGCATCAGAGGCTGGGTTCATGCCTTCAGAGGTGGATGACTTGTCTGGACTCCCTCCTTCAGGTGTGGTGGCCCAGTCTGAGGCTGACGCTGAGTTGGCTGCCATGCTTGCCTGCATTGCCTGAAAAAAAATCTTAATAATTGTGATTCATTTACATTTTTAACTGTAACGTTAACACAAACAATTTAATATAGCCAAGTTTGTGTATATTTTACACGTAGTAAATACTGTATGTGCTGCTTATAAAAAACAGACAGATAATGATTTAGGAAACATACTCTTTACTCATCTCACTTGCACAAAATAAATGTCAACGGGAATGCAGATACCAATCAAATTGTTTGCGGTAACGTTACAGTTAAAAATATAAATTAATCGCAATTATTAAGATTTTTCCGCCATTGTTTTTATCTATAAAGATAATTGATGCAAAGAAAGCATGTATGTAAAATATGTGTTGATAATATTGAACGAGCAACTGATGTAAGTAAGTGAAAATATATGCGCAGAATTGAGAAAATAGTATTTATGGAGATAAATTGTAGACTATAACAGGCCAAACGTGTGAATGTTGTTCACGCGGTATTGTGTGCAAACAACTCTAATCGTAGTTGTAACTCTATATTTACTGTAGGCATAATTCTCATTGCGTATGCAGCATGAGACCAAGACAATCTTCTGTTCATGAACAGTTGTATTTCAATCATTAAGCTGACTTTGCATCAGTGCATTAAATTGCCATTTGCTCGCGTGATAGTAATATATATCTTTGTAGTATTTTAAGTGATATAATTGATTCTATAAACAACTATAAGAGATAATTTCTGGCTTACTCCGGCTCCCTGCACCGGGCGTAAAGCGAAACCGGAAGTGTCTAACCGCACACTCGCTGATCGTAAATCCAAAATGGCGGCCAAGTGCAACTAGTCCTGTTGGATGGCTATACTTAATGTTAAAAAAAAAAAGGGAGGGGGGGGGGGGAATTAACAGTTTAATTTAACAGCTCATTTTCACTGTTTGTGAGTGTCATGAAGTAATCATAAAGTGCCATGTATTACAAGGTCTACACTACAATTGTGTCAGTATGTGTCATGATGAAAACGGCAAGATGAAATAAAAATGTTAAACAGCAATGTTATAACTAAAACAAACACCATACACTATATTTTTTACTTTTATTTATTAACAAATTCCTTTTGGGACAGCACTGTATATTTTATATTTTGTGAGCTCACCTTTGAACTTTATAATTTAAATTTGAAACCGCACAAAGCTTTTTTTCTCAGCTTAAGTACACAATAGTATTACTTTCAGCAGTTGTTCTAGGCTATTATTCCTTATACAAGTGGTCGACTATATGGACCAGGTGATGCTATTGCATTTACCAAAACAGGGCAAATGAATGCCAGGTCTGCATATATAAATGGGTGTTTTAATATTTAAAAGTACAGTATCTCATATTCTGTCCGATAAAATTTATTTGGTATGTTAAAAAAGCCATTAACTGAAACTCATATATGCCAGCGATAAAGCTATAAACAGGTAATATTAGAGAGATATTTTGAATTGTTTACTTTATTAAGTGCTGTCAATAAGAACTAAGAGCTGAGGTAGGCTGCTAAATTTTAAATCTTAATCTACAGTAAAGAGCCTTCAATCCTAAAATAAGAACACATTTGCTAAAGAAAGAAATAAAGTTTGGGTCTGATTTAAAAGTCTCTTTGTTCAACATTGTGGAACAAAAGAACAACCCAACCCAAATATAACACTAGATGGTGACAAATCACCACTAAATCAGGACATTTGTTTGGCAAGATTTTTGAAATATGGGGGAGTTTTACGTGATACAACAAATTAGAAATAATTGTGCATCAATAGTATTCATTGTTCTGTTTTACTCTATAATTACTCTACTCAGTATAAATAAATTGTGTTATGTCATTAAAATGATCACACATGACATTGTAGCGTATAGTGAGACAAGTGTCAGTACAAAATGAACAGGTAAAGCTATGAATTAGCTATGAAGCTTTTAGGCAACAGCCTTTGATATTTACACTTGTGCACAAGTGAGAACATATTTAGAAATGCTAAACCTAACTTTTTTTGTGAATGAAATTAAATGAGCTTGCAGTGGGTTCAAATGTCTAAGACCACATTGACATTTTCTGAACACATTAGGATTTTACCCCCTTTAAACCTGAAAAAAAGTGTTCTCCAGAACTCGAACTGCACTGTTCAAAGGTCAGATGTTCTTGAACTGAAGTACATGATACTTGGAACATTCTCAAATGGTCTAATTTGCGCCCATGCCAGCTTGAGCCCTGCTGTCAAGGACACACAATACACACTAAACACTAGGAAATTGTGACACCAGATTGTTATGATGATAATATAATCTATAATGAAAAACAATGTGGTATATTTAAAAAGAATGAACATTAGAGGTTGTTCCACTAGTAGGATCAGACCTTTGTATCCGACCTACTGTGTAAAATCTGAAAGTAGACAAAACATTATACAATAGTATTTGCTTTTAATCATGTCTTTGGTTATCTATAGCTTTACATATAATTTAACACAGTATGTACATAAAGATCAAGAAATTGCAAATATTTTAGGTACTTTTAGTATCGAAGTATAAAAACAGATTGTTGATGCACACAATCTCTGGGTTATTTTAACAGTACATTTTCTGATCTCTTTGGTTCTAACACCATATATTACTGGATGCAAAAGTGGTGGCAAAAGTGTTATTTGGACTGACATAAAGACATTCATCTCACTAGATATAAGCACAGTAAATCTGTTATATATAAGAGAAAAAACCGTGGCAATTGAAAAGTTAATGAAGATTATCAAATGAGGAAGGCATGTTCCAAGTGCCTTGTTTTGACCATTTTTTGACACTTTTAAACTAACAGAAAGTATTTTGACATAAGACAGCAATATAAGACATGTAGGGAGCACAGATAAACACACTATTATTAGTAAACCATACACATTGCTTAAAAAGCTAAGACTCGTACTACATGATATGTTAATGATTGAAAGGTTATCACAAAATAGCTTATTAAGAGTACGGCTGCATAAGGGAATTCTTGATGTCAAATATACTTGACCAGCTATTGAGAAAACAGGAACTAAGTTGCTTAACATAAGCCAAATTTTAATTTTACAGGGATTCATGATAATATGGTACTGTAATGGGTTACAAATGGATACATACCTATCATAGGCCATTACTGTCAAAGTAGAATAAGTGCAAGCAGCATAAATACTAGCCAAATAGACTTGGAGAAGACACCCCTCATACGAACTAGTGTGCCAATCAGTTAGGAGATTTGAAAGAACTTTTGGCCAAACAGCACTGCTTCCGAGCAGTCCACTGCACATCAGGTTAAACAAAAATATATACATTGGCTTATGGAGACTTGATTCTAAGTAGATAACAAGCATTATACATATGTTTGCTAAGGTTGCAACTGAGTAAACTAAGAAAATAAAAATAATCAATACATATTTTCTTGGACCCAGCGATTCATATGATGAAAATACCAGATCCAAACCAGTAGACTTGTTCATCCTTCAGGCTGGAAAAGCAAACAATAAAACATGAAAACACAGTCTCATTGAATTACTTATTATACATTATATTATTATTATTATTAAAAGTAAATGGTTGTTACAAAAACTTTAAATATATCTCTGCACGCATTGTGTAACATCTAAGACCTGCAAATACAATACCCAACAAAAATTCCTGTTGTACCTCATTGTTAATACAGACCTGGCTCTGTGTGAACTGCTAAACATTGTGTCTGGGCTCAGTTCATGTACTGTTGTTTTATAAAGCCCTTCTGTTGCGTGGCTGGAGATTAAGTCAACAGATTTCGCAGAGATTTCTTTAGGGAGCAACGTCCCATCCATGTATCTTGAACATTTTATTTTCGGCTTGGAGAAATGGGGAAATGAATAACTTTAAAAAATATCTTCACTTTACAGAGCATACTTGCTAAAGGTCACTCAATAAACATAAGCCATAGAGGGTATGTTTATGGAGATGAAACTATGTATGATGTAGATGTTTACAGATGTAAAAAGTTACGTCTGAAACGAGAGGGAAAAAGGAAATGGAAGAAAAAAGGAAGAGTTGTGTAGTAGTTTCTCACACAGGCCACCACAATGTAGCAGTAAGTGGCACCAAATTAATATTGTGAGTGTTTCACCTTAACAATAAAGTACAATCAAGGAAGATTGTTAAATAAGAAATACGTATGGGGAGTTTATCAGCTGAACAATCTGAAAGATTTGTGAGATGACAGTAACTTATAGAGCCTGTTTCTGTATCATCCACACAAGGAAAACATTTGTGATAAAAATAATTGTATTAACAAAAAAGAACGTCTCGGTTACGTATGTAACCCTCGTTCCCTGTAGTCGACGTGTCGACTGATTGGGATCACGCTTAGAGAGACCGTCATCTTGGAGTACTATTAAAACGAGCCAAAGAAATTGGCATGTGTGAAATGCATCACACACTCCGCCCCCGCGCCGCGGGTATAAATACGGAAGTGGATGCACGCACTAGTTGTTTTTCGCTGAGGAGCCGAGCGTAACTCGGAGTCAGCGGTGGTCCAGCAATAGTGGCTACGGGACTACGTCTCCGTTCCCTCCTTCAGGGAACGAGGGTTACATACGTAACCGAGACGTTCCCTTTCAGTCGCTCACGTTAGACGTAGTCGACGTGTCGACTGATTGGGATCCCAATAAAAACGCCATCTAGTGCTGCCACCTTCCAGCGCCTAGACAAAAGCCTCCAGATCCCCCCGCAATAGGCGGGGAAGGGACAGGGCTTAGGCCAGGGAAGTCACTGCTGTTCCTACAGGACCACTGGGAAAGCGTTCCCTGAACATGGAAGGAAGGGACGCTGCGGAAGCCACATCCTGCCCGAAGGGAGGTAACATGTGGAGAATACACATATGAACTGGGCGGATGACCGGGCAGTACAACATATGGAATGTCACTGGGGTGGCTCCAGCCTATGACAGGGGGAGACTCAACCGGACAGTGACGGCAGAGCAGGCTCTGCCAAGGGAAGACAAGGGCTCGCCGCAGGGAGCCGTACCGTGGAAGAATACACATATGGGATCGCTGTAGGGATCACAGCATATGGACCAAGCCTAACACAGGTTCCACCAGTGCATACGAGTGATAGGCCTGGCTTCGGACATTCCGCCATGTCCGTTGCCGAAGGGTATGGAGGAACTCGACAGGGTTCGGCTAAAAAAGGGGAACTCAACTGGAGCAAGAATTGCGCACGTATCCAGTCCATAGGAGGGGAATGGCGCAGCAAGCCAACACAACGAACCGGGCTTACAGTGAAACTGGCTTCATGTGAAGGGAGCCCACGGGAAGCAGCGGTTCGGCTAAGGTGTCGCCCAGCCCTCAACTCTAGAATATCTGTCAGCGAAGCACTCTGTGTCAACGCCTAAGCAGGAGCACTCTCTCATTTAAGAGGAGTTCACCACCTAAGTGGACATGTGCATCTCGGGAATTCACCAAGATGAAGGCAACATCCGTGGGCCAACCTCGCTTGGAAACAGCCTTCCCTCTCTGCTGATTTCCTTTAACAGATAAGAGCTGATCTGAGGTCCTATGGCTTGCGTTCTGTGCACGTAACCCCGCAATGAAGCGGACGGACAGAGAAAGCCAGGGCTGGGTCTGCCTCCTCCAGGCAGCGCTTGCAGGCTCACAACCTGGTCCTTTTAAGGGAGAGGTAGGAACCTTGGGCACAAATCCAGGCCGGGGTCTCAGCTAGTGAGAGTTAGCCGGCCTGAATTCCAGGCACAAGTCATTGACCGAAAGCGAGCAAGTCCCTACCCTCTAGAAGAGACCATGCGAACAGGAGAACTGTAAAAAACAGAATTTTTAACTCACTGCCTGCAGTGGCTCAGGGGCGGTCTCTGATTGCAATAGCACCAGAGACAGGCCCAAGAGGATAAAGAGGGGCGCAGGGATGACCCTTGCTCCCTCAGGAACCTGACGATCAGGACGTGCTTCCCATACTTCTGCATATGATGTTTGTATCATATTGAGGGTGAAGGAACACCCTACTCCAACCCAACTTGCAGGAAAGAGAGCACTGAAATGACCGAACGCTCTCAGGATCTCCTCATGGAGAGAAGACTCATTCAACGAATAGGTTCCACTTCTAACTAGCGAAGCACAACTGCCTTATCTTAAGGGGGTGCTTGCAGAAGTGATGGTCACTACCACATATCCTTGTGATAGCGACCTGAACCTCCCCGTCCAGTTCTTTGAACGCGGGTGCCATCATGCCCCGTCCCTGAATGTATTCAGGGGAAGTCAGGAAGGCTGTCGAGGGAACTAGATCTGGTTGGGCCAAAAAAGGGGCAACTATCAAGACCTGTTCCACTCCTGACTTAGCACAGTAGGTGCAAGCGACATGCACGCACAAGACAGGAGCACTGCTCAACACTAGATGTGATGATTCACTGAGCTTCAGGAGCATTTCTGCTCAACACCTGAGTGTGATGAACATCACTGAACTTGAGCAGCGCCAAGCGATAATGAATCGCATAGCCGCTTTCTTAGAAGGCTCACTGGGGAACGCATTTCTGCTGGGCCCCGGGGTCAGCTGAAAGTCAGTGTCTATCCAAGGGATGTCCGCTCAGACAGAAACACAACTGGCAGAGGGACGAGTCCGGAGGGGCAACAGATGCAACTGTGCGGCCCCGAAGTGGTCCGTGCCCAGTTGGACCGCCAGGGGATTGGAGTCTCCACTCTCCCTGGCCATAGCTGTCGTGAGGCTCGGGCAATATCGGAGAAAGGATGTGACGTCATGATGATGATGGAGTGTGCTTCGCGGCTCTTCCACATTGTTTGTTGTTTCTATCGATATATATCTTAATTGGTAAGCCAAATTAACAGTATTTTGGTATCTAGAGGCTATAATGCCTCCAAAGAAGGTAACGATGGAAGAAACAATAAAAGAAATGAATGAATCACTGAAGAAATTGACACAAGATATAAGAGACGTTGTAGCAAAGCAAACTGAGATAACGAACCTTCTGGCAGAAATTAGAGAACTCAGAGAAAGTGTGGCCGCAAAAGATCTGAGGATTGCTGCACTTGAAAATAAAGTGTTGAAGATGGATGAAATGGAACGTAGAATCCAGGATATGGAATTGTTTACCCGCAAAGAAGATGTAATAATAAGCGGTCTTGAAGTTAAACCAAGGACGTACGCTGCCGCAATTAAGAGAGATGACGAGAAAAGTCTAAATTCGAAAGATCAAGAATCCCTTGAAACGCAGGTAATCACCTTTCTTCAAAGTAAGAACATCCTTCTGGACAAGAGTAACATCGCAGCTTGTCACATTCTACCAAGAAAGGACCGCGCAACCAAGCCCAGAATTATGATGCGTTTTGTGAGTCGTAAACACAAAACTGAACTTTTGATGCAGGGGAAAAAGCTCAAAGGCACGGCGGTGTACATCAATGAACATTTAACATCTAAAAACGCCGAGATTTCCCGAGTTGCTCGGCAGCTATGGAAGGATCGCAAAATAAAAGCTACCTGGACTAGAGATTGCAAGGTGTTGATAAGATTGAATGGCCCCTCGCCTGAAGCGGAGAAAGTCTTGATGATTAGGGAGTTGAAAGATCTGGACTGCTACAAATGAAGATGCTTCTTGGGAATATAGGAAATTTTGGCCAGTTGAAGACCAAAGGATTAGTTACGTTATTGTCCGGATATATAATTTATTTTTTACTTTTTTTAAGGGGCGTTCGAAAAGATTCCATCCTTGGTCGATGTTTAATTTGTTTTGAAGGGAGTTTGGTGCACCTATGGGAACAAGGTAGGAAACACTTTTCTACTTTGATTATGATTGTATATCATTCGTTGCTATTGGGACTTCCTACCGCAGTGAATTTTATTTTTTGGACTTATTGTGGACTATATTATTTATTTTGTTCTCCATATGATGGCACTTGTCGGTTAAACACAGCAGTTGTAAAAACAACATTTGTAGGGTATTATTATTTGTTTATCTGTCTGTTTATAGAAAATGATGACAGAGACTGATTTCTCTGGGCCTACAAGGGGCTACACATTGTTAAGAGCTAAGCATATAGACTATAAGTTGTATGATTTTGAATGCAATATTGACCCAGAAAATCACTGCTTTAACACAATTAATTCCATGTGTGATTATTATACAGAAGAAAAGTTCAATGATACAGTTAGCCTGGACAGTACATTTTCAGTAATACATTTTAATTGTAGGAGTTTGTATGCAAACTTTACCAAGATCCAGGCTTAAGGTCTTTAAAATATAACTTTTCAGTCATAGCCCTGTCAGAAACCTGGGTTAATGAAGGTCGAGGTGTAGATTTCTTTATGGAAGGTTTTCTTTATGGAATGAATTGCATCATTGCAATAGAATAGATAAGAGGGGAGGCGGTGTTGCCTTATTTGTGACCACTGATTTGAAATGCAGAATTGTAGAATGTATGACGACAGCCATTAATGATTTATTTGAATGTATTACAGTGGAGATT